AGTTTCAGTTGCCTTGGAAAAACAAATCATTGTTGTTCAATTGCATAGTGAATTGAGAGTAAAATGACTGAATTTATGTCATTTCAGGAGAATAGTTAGTGTTCTTGTGCACATGAAATAGTTTAAACAGATGATTTCATCAAGTTCTTTTTTTTCCTATAATACCATTTAAGAGTTTCCTTGACTGGTCTTTCACCTTTACTACAAAGTTGGCCAGTTGAGTCTAATGAAAATCTTCTAAACTCCTGGGACCTCCCCCCCCCCCCCCCATAATACCATTTAAGAGTTTCCTTGACTGGTCTCTTACCTTTACTACAAAGTTGGCCATTTGAGTCTAATGAAAATCCTATAAACTCCTGGGAGCAGCCAAATGGGAGGAGTGAGGGTAAAGCTGAGGGTGAGTGGTCTAGAACCAGAGTCCAGAGCCCCTGGCCCCTCTCAAAGGCTGCTCAGGGCCTCCACCATGACTGCCCTTATTACACACCCCGGCTCCCGGCCTCTTGTCTGCCCCCAGAGGCACAGCCCTCCTCCCTCAGAGGCTGGCCTGGCTCAGGCTGGGCTGGGCTGTAGGGTTTCCTCAGCTTGCGCCCCTCCCACCCTAGGCCCGCTGCCTCAGTGGAGCAGGTTCCTGCCACTGTTCCTGGGACTCATCTCCCTGCCTTGCCGCATCTGCAGCCCTGACACCCCACATCTGGAAGTGCTGCTCCACCTGCCGGCCCTGGAGCCCTGCCAGAGGTTTCTGGAGATGCTGGTTGACCCAGCCTCTTGGGGAAGAAGAGAAGGCTCTGGGCTGAGGGAGTGACCTGGGGGTGGAGCCCCAACCTGTTTATAGGACCAGGGCTCCTCAGAGGCCGGCAGATTCACAGTCAGTCCCATCTCATTGGAAGACTTGCTGCCAGCCAGCCAGGGAGCTGGCATCTTGGCAGGAGCTGGGCCTGGAGCAGAGCTGAAAGGATTGGCATGGAGAGACTGACACCTAGGGAGCCACCTGGCCATCCTCATCAGGTAACCCTTCCCCTCCTCCCCTCAAAGCAACACAGATCCTGCCAGGCCCACAGCCCGTCACCGTAGACAATGGACTTCCTGGGACCCAGGAACCACCCTGTGTGTCTCCAAAACTCTGCCAGCCCAAATCCCCAACCACTATCAATTATTTACTCTGCCCAAGAGTGATGAGGCTGAAACCAGGCCAGGGAAGCTTACAAACTGCTCACCCTAGCCCTGCCACATGCTTCCCCTCAGCCCAGATGTCTCATTCTCTGCAGGGACAAGGCCAGAGAGACTGGCTCCTCAGGTCTCCCCTGAAACCCCAGTGGGTGGCCATGAAGTGGCAAAGTGTACCAAGCAGAGGCGTATACCTTATTTGCAAACTTCCCTGGGCTTTTGGAGCCTTGGCCCTGAGATCCAGGCCTGAGTTGGGTTCAGATACCAAGGAATCCTAGGGAAGGTAGAGAGGCACCCGCCCACCTGCTGCCCCAGCTGTGTCAGCCTGAGGCCTGGAGGACCCTCTGCAGGGCGGATGTCAGTGCAAATGCCCGGATGGGGTCTGGGAGAAACTCAAAGCTGCGGGAGCAGGGTGGTGAAGTTGCTAGAAAGCGCTGGCTCCATCTGCTTCTCTATCTGGAGCCCGAAACCCAGAACCCAGCTGCAGAGGTTTCTGAAGTGTCCCTTTCATCCTCATCTCCCCGGAGAAAGCTGGGCATCCTTCTCCCCCACCCTCTGCCTGCTCTAAGCTCAGCCCAGGGGCAAAATTAAAGCCCAAGGTGTAGTGACCCTGGGATCTTGAGTTTGCCCTCACACCTGGGAAACACCTTGCCTCCTGCTGATGTTCCTGGAACTGGCTGAGTCCCTAACATCAGGCCCTTGACACCCAGCCTTCAGGGTGAGCCCCAGCAGCGTCTTCACCCAGACTCTCCTGCTGGACGGAGACTGGAGCCTGCTCTGGTGGCAGGAGCTTGGCTGCCAGGGCAGGCCGGGCGCCTGGGACTTGCTCTGGGACGTGCCTGCTGTGCTCAGCCTGACTCAGGAGGCGCAGGGGCTGAGGCTGTGCTGTAGCTTCCACTCCTCTCCAACCTCCTCGCTGCCCCAGCATGAATCGCTCGGTGCCAGCAGGGAAAAGGTGGCCTGCTCATCTCTCTCTTCCTGCTGAAGACCCCGTGGTCGCTGGTGCTGTGGACCTTGGTTGGGGACTCCCTTGGGCCACATCCCCCATGATCCTCTGCACAGAGAGGAGGATGGAGTAGGTCCCAGGGTCCCTGCACTGGGGGAGACAGTGGCTGGGACTCTTTGCAGGGAGGCACTCCCAGGACCCTACAGGAAGCTGGGTAGGGGTCCCTGCTGGAGAACTCCTCCAAAGTGTCCAGGGTCAGTCATCAATGAACAGTATTCCTGGTGAGACCATCTTTCAATGGGGAAGATGGAGCCCCAAGGCCCCAGAGGAAAAAGAATCCTATTAGTTAACATGTTCGTTCAATATCATATTTGGCTGAAACAAACCTATGAGATTCTAGATACCCACAGGGCAGTGGGGGCAGTTTGCACGGTTTGACAGAGAAGCACAGACCTGGGAAGGTAGTGAGCTCTGGCCTTGCAGACCTGGGTTTGAACCCTAACGATGTCACCAACTAGCTCTGAGGCTGAGGGCAAGTTATCCTTCCTAAGCCTCAGTTCTCTCGTCTGTGAAATGAGAGGAAATGAGACCACTATCTTATAAGTTTGTTGGGAGGATAAATCAAGTTCATATATGTAATATGTTAGTACAGCACCTAGAAACATAACAAGCACATAAGAGCAGTTTGCTTTTTGCTAAACATTTTATAAACATTAATACCTTTAGCCTCAGAACACTGTGTGAGGTTGAAACTGTGGTTAGTCCCACTACGTATGAGGAAAAGAAGGCACTGAGATGTTTAGTGACTTGCCCAGAGTCACACAGCAAACAAGTGGAGGACCAGGGTTTACTCGTAGACCCAGCCTGGCTGGGAGGCTGCCCTTGTCCACTCCACTCTACTGGCCCTAGTATGACCAGTCAGAATTCTTGCCAGAGCCCATCCTCTGGGGGTTCCATGTTAGAGATGTCTGAGAGGTGAAGAGAAATGGGGTTTCGCTCTAGGAAAAAAGTCCTGCCAGGGGCTGGGGGGCTTTCTGAGGTTGAGAGGCTCTCAGTGACCTGAGGTTTGAGCATGAGCAATAATCCTCAAATTGGGCAACGTGACTGGACGAAAAGTGAGCATCTGGGGACACTTCTTAGTAGCCCCAGGAGACTTCAGAGGATGGGCTGCCCCTGCCCTCCCCTCTGTTTTGAAGCAGGCATTGCAGCACAGCACCCTGCAGGGCCCGGGACCCCAGCCAGCACCTTCTCTGGGGCATGCAGTGGCGGGATCTGGGTGCAGGGAGGAAAGGGAGCCGGCGTCTAAAAACGCATGAAATCCCTGCCAATGTCAACCTCTGGCTTAAGAGTTGTCGAGTTGACATGTTGCTGGTGTCACTGGAGCTAATCCCTTAGTGATGACCCGTCATAATGATCAGGGAGGGAGAAACAAGCCTACTCTGCTGGGAGGATTACATGTGCTCTGCCAGAAAGATGACTGCATGACAGGGACACTCAGCCCGGAGCCACGGGAGAGGGACGATGCCGGGACCCAGGGGAGAAGGGTGGGGGGTGGGGCATGAGTCCCGAGTGGCTTTGCTGTGGCCCATTGTCCTGTAAGGTTCCCTGTGGAGAATGGAGAGTCACGCCCCGTGGACACTGAGCCAGCCCCTAGCGAGGAGCACCAGCTAGGAGCACCTTCGCGGAGCAGAGACCGGCTCCCGGGGGGAGAAGGGACTTCTGCTCACAAGCACGGCAGTGGGACAGGTCCCGGGAGGTGCAAGGCTAAGCAGCTTTGTTTTCCTTACCACATGTCCCATCCAGGCCATGACAGATGTCCACCTTGCAAGCATGGTGCTGCCTCTGCCTCAGACCACAGGGGCTTCTGATAAAAAACGTGTGTAGGGCGCCCAGAAAAAGCTACCCTGCCAGGCCTCGCGGAGAGCAGAAACCCTGGGTCCCAGCAGTGCCAAGGACGGTTTGATTTTCTCCCCAGTGCCCTGTGCCCAGAAGGACTTAGCCACACCCTACCTGTCCTCTGCTTTCCCCTGCCACCTTCTTCTGCTCCTCTTCTCTCTATCTCCCCCCGCCCCCCCCAGCTTCTGCCCACTTCATTTCTTCCTCCTCCTCACTGGGCTGTCTCTGGGCCGACTGATGTCGCCAGCATCGTCACACACAATGACCCTTCACCCACTGCTCAGAGTAATGCCTGATGCTCTTGGAGTTTCCTAATTCCCACCCAAGAGAAGGTGAATACCTGTGGCTCCCCAAGGCTCAGCCTCCCTGGAGTCATGTGTCCACTTCCGGTCCAGAGGGCAGGCTGGGCAGTGGGGTCACACGCTTTACCAAAGGGAACTCTGGGAACTCTGGGATGGGGCGACCCCAAACTGACATGTCCAGTGTGGTGGCCATTCCTTAGTCCTCAGTTCCCTGCTTTCTCCACCACACTATGCAATCCTGTCTCTGACGGGGAGACAGCCCCACAAATTCCAACCCCCCTCCTTCGTTCCATGGCTGCTGCAGCCCAGAACCACTGCCCCGGGACAGAGGTGGGCAAAGGCCGTCTGGCCCCAGAGCACCTGGCAGTGCCACCAAGCCTCTCAAGAGAAGTCTGGCCCAGACTGGCGGGCTCAGGAACGAGCAGAAAGGACTCATTTGTCCGACGTTTCTCTGCAGGGGGAGGCCTCCGCCTGCTGGCGACTCACCGTGAGGGTCCTGGAGGCTCGGGGCCTGGGCTGGGCTGACATGTGTGAGTAACTGTCTCCTGGGCTTCAGGGATGACCGGGTCCCAAGGGAAGAGCCCAACATGTGCCTTGGGACTGGCCTGGGGTGGGTTGTCCACTGTGGCCTCCGGGGTCTTGGTAGGAATCTGGCAAGGCCCCTGGAGAGGGGTGTGAGGAATTCTCTCTCACGCTGATTCTCTTGACATTGGCAGTGAGCGAGGCAGATCCCTATGTGGTCCTACAGCTGCCAACCGTACCTGGAATAAAGTTGAAGACCAAAACAGTCACCAACTCCAGCCATCCTGTATGGAATGAGACCTTCAGTTTCCTAATCCAGAGACAGGTTAAGGTAAAAGTCATGCCACCCACCTGAGGACAGGCTGTACCTCTCGCAGGGAGGGCTCTTGGATTAGAGCACGCTTTCCTCCAGGGCTTAGAGAAACTGGGGAGTGTGTGTCTCTGGGCCCCAGCCTGGATGTGCTGTACAGGAGACAGTGTGCAAGCCCAGTGCCTGTGGGCCTGACCTCCAGCAAGTGGCTGGTCCTCTCTCTGGCCATCCACGGAATGGAGACAGTAAGAATTCCCCCCTGACTTGGGCTGCTGTGAGGGTAAAGACAATGCACTCCTAGTATACCACCTGGTACATGCAGTGCCCTAGGGAACCAGCAAAGCAGGGGTGCAGTAGGGGGAGGAAAGATTCTTTGAAAGAATTGTATTTTTTATAAAAATAAAAATTAGCAGGGTTAATTGGGAACTTTTCTGGGTTTTCTTTTACTACTTGTAAGTTTTAGTGTTACAGTGGGGCCTTGACTTATGAGTTTAATTCGTTCCGTGACGGAGCTCGTAACTCAAATTACTCGTATGTCAAATCAAAAAGTGAACGAGTGAGACACGTGATGCTGGGCTGATGTTGTGGCGTTCACTGTAACGTTCGCTGCACCAACTAGCGGTGGGGTATCTGAAGCTGGCTTGTAACCCAAATTTTAGCTCGCAACTCAAAGCAAAAAATCAGCAGAGAGACGGCTCGTATCTCGAAAAACTCGTTAGTCGGGACACTCGTAAGTCAAGGCCCCACTGTATTTTTATTTTGAAGTACAAAGCATGGAGGCATAATAATCTTTTCTGGCTCTGATGTAGGCTATAGCCATGAGTAAATATGTACTAAGTTGTTCTCTTGTCCTAGAATGTTCTGGAGCTGAGTGTCTATGATGAGGACTCAGTCACGGAGGATGATGCCTGCTTCAAGTTTCTCTATGACATCTCAGAAGTCGTCCCTGGCAAGCTGCTCCGGAAGACCTTCTCCCTGCGCCCCCAGGTGCGTGGGGGGTCCCCATGGGATCCAGGCTAAGGAAGTTGCACAGTTTCTCCCATCTGTTGGGATGCTGCTGCGTTGAACTGATTCACAGAAAGAGGCAAGCCCCTCCCAGAGATATTTACATTTTAATAGGAAAGGCAAGGCTCAACTTGACTGTTATAGACTAAGTCATTCAATGGAGAAATTTTACTGTCTGTGGGAGGAGGTTTTGGTTGGTGGAGAACTTCCTAATGTCCAAAAACACAACTCCGTATAACTAACCCTTCGAGCATTTGTGGCTTCATCACTCCTACTTGCTGCCTCTAACCTCCCGTGTGCCCAAGGCCTGTTTGATGAAGGTCTCTGTGTTCTTTCTCTAGCAGGTGAAGGCGGGGGTGGAGGAGGCCAGAGTTCTGGGGTTGGATCCCACTCAAGAGGAAGATGAAATGGGCCCTGGGCATCAAGCCTCTTTTGGCTTGTGCTCCTTATCTTCCCCCTCAGCCTTGCCAGAGACCTGTTCTCTGCAGACTTACCAACTGTGGTAACTTGGGCAGATAGCCCATCCATCTTTCCCTAAGCCTCAATTTCCTCATCTGTAAAATGGGAAGGCTTATAATACTATGCCTCCCTTAGAGACTTGAGGTGATGAAATAATGAATGTAGAAGAACTCTGTCAACTCTAAAGACTTATATAATTGTGGATGACTTGCTCATCTTTGATTCCAGGGACAGGAGGAACTGGATGTGGAGTTCCTGATGGAAAAAATGTGAGTTCTCAGAGGGAAGGTGGAAGGGGTTGGGGGTAGGGGTAAGAGATCAACCAAAGGACTTGTAAGCATGCATATAAGCACAATCCATGGACACAGACAGTAGAGGGGTAAAGGCATGTGCTGGGGGGTGGGAATGTCTGGGGAGAGGTCAATGGGGTGAAAAGGAGACATATGTAATACTTTAAATAATTTAAATTAAAAAAAATTTTTTTAAAGAAAGAAAAAAATGTGAGTAGTCTCAGCCAGTCCAGGGAGTATCTAAGAATCCAGGCTTTATGTAGGGAAATGTCACTAACCCAGATCTTCCCATCGGTCTGTCCATCCCAGATTCCCTGTCCCTCATCTCCCCAAACCTGCTAGACTCGGGGTGGGGTCCTTTTTAAAAAATATATATATATATATATATTTATTGATTTTATTTTTATTTATTTCAGAGAGGAAGGGAGAGGGAGAAAGAGATAGAAACATCAATGATGAGAGCGAATCATTGATCAGCTGTCTCCTGCACGCTCCACACTGGGGATCGAGCCCGCAACCTGGGCATGTGCCCTGACCGGGAATCAAACCGTGACCTCCTGGTTCATAGG